AATATATATATATATATATATATATATATATATATATATGCATAGGTATATACATATATATATATATGCATATTTACACATTCGTTCACACCTTGCTCTACATATTTTTATGTACATATATTTACATGTACATAAAAATGTACGTGTATATATATATTATATATATATGTATATTGATATAGGTTTATACATATGTTTGTATTTGTATAGAAAGATATATATACATATATATGTACATAAGTACATTCATATAAGTATAGATATATAGGTAGTTAAAAGTTCGAACAAAGCAACAGAAACCGATTGGATGTCATTTGAATTCTTCCGCGTCTTCGTTGGTTGCTGCACTTTCCTCTGCTTCTTCTTTAACCTGTTTAACTAATACTCCAAGTAATATTACTTTATTAACAATCTGTCTCTTCTCTCAGCTTGCAACTGAGAGCATCCATTATACACCCCAAGGCTGCAGCGGCAATTCTTTTGAGTGTATATACAGCAGCAAGGAGACAAAACAGCAAAAAGCTTGTTGCAGCAGATGCAGAGAGAAATAGATTTGCATTTTTGTTTATAATTGCCGCAACTCTCCGCATTTTATAGCCGAAACATAACCCCTAAAGCCCCTAAAGTGTAGCATTCCATATATATGCATATATATAATATATATATGTACAAATATATATATACATATGAGTTTATACGTATATACATGTATATATGTATGAACATATATACGGATAAATATATATTTATATATGCATAACAAGATGTATATATATACGTATAGTATGATGTATTGCTACGCTATACGTTGCATATTATTAATATTATTATTATTACATTTTATTTATATTATTGTGGCTCTACAATAAACACGATTAATAACATTATTATTTATTTGTAAAGTATACATTTTTAATAGAACAGTCGTTGTGATTGTACACCGCATAAAGAGTGACAAAGCATAAAAACTGCAAATAAACACAAAGGCGCAGCAGCTGTATGTACACCTGAAGAGACCCCTATTCTCTTTGGTGCATTTAGGGAGGTAAAGGGCTAAGAAAGAGAAAAAGGGAAAGAGACTAGATTTCAAAGAACAGATCCATTCTCTGTCTCTTTTTGTCTCTTCTTCTGTCTCCTGTATATCTGTACATAGGAAAAGAGACAGTGCAAGGGCCCCTCTTTGTTTATTTGAATTTAAGTAAATGCATAACCATTTAAGTTAGTTGGTGTCTTCTCACTCATAAAGCGGTGTATAAACAATTTGGAATATACATAAAAGTGTATATGAGAGTTGTGATAATATATATAAGACGACATATGTATAATGACATATGTATAATGCTATGCACACTATGGAGTAATAATATAAATAAGATATATCAATACCTATACTGTACTTAATGCAATACTAAAACCCCTTGTTTGTCTCTGTTTGTAGCTCCTTCTCTTAGCTGCGCATTATCTGTAAAGTTTATTTATTTAATTTTTCTGTTTCTCCCTTTTGCTGTACTTGTTATTTCTTCGCTCGTTTGCACGCTGTGTTGGGCGCCTTGCAGCTCTTAAATCACTCTACGCGTTATAAACCTCTCCAGAAACGCATATATTATAGGTCTTTAAAATAATAATAATAGTAATACTATTGTTATTAGTATTTTAATTTCATTACCTTCTCTTTCGTCCAAGTTTTATTGCGAGAAAGAGAGGGATGACTCTCTGCACACCCACATCTCAGCGAAGCCTGGCGGCTCTTCTGCGTTGTTAATTTCAACTTTTTATTGAAATATTCCATCGTATTAAAGTTAATTATTAAAATATTTTAAATATTCTAGAAATAATTCAAACTGAGGCCCCCTTGGGCCCCCCACTGCTAAGCGGTGAGCTGCACGTGGCTGCGGTGTACAGACACCTCGCTTCCCTAGTGACCTTTTGGTGTAAGTTCAAAACTCATGCATGCATGCATGCATGCAATTAGTTTAGTTTATTTTAAGTATCGTTTTGTTGTAAGGCTGTGTGTATCCCCGACACAGAAGGGTACTGACAGCCGCTGTTGATTTGTTTGTGTTTTACTCCCCTTTCAGCATACTGCAGCAGCTCTCGTGTACGTACACTATTCATTTATTTGTTTTTTCTAATAAAAGAGGGTTTGTATCGACTTGTAGAATTAATTCAAGTGCAGATACTTTCCTTCTCTTCAGCTGTTGCTGTTCTTGATAAAAGTTACAACTCTTTAGCTCTCAGGCACAGGTGTAATACACTTTAAGCGATGTTCGTTCTTCTTTCTCTCAACAGTGAGCACTAAACAATTCTCTTTTTTCT